AATTTGTAAAAATGTTTTAATTTCTTTCCCTGTTTTTTCTGTCACTCAAAAACGATGCACTTGTCTACCTCAGAAATAGTAACAGGAATCAATTTATATATTTGTACTCAACTCCTCTGCTCGTAATAAAAATTCCGTATTCCACCAGGCTTGAAATTTTAGGCCTGGATAACCTTGAACTGTACCATCTACATTCCGACCTGGGCTTAGTGCATAAGATAATCTGCCATAATGTCCTACCCGTTAATGACTATTTTTACTTCAACCGCAATGAGGGTTATCAATAGATACCAATTAAATGTAATCCGTTTGAATCTTGATTGCAGGAAAAATGATTTCAGCAACAGAATAGTAAATGTGTGGAACACCCTACCTGATCCTGTTGTTAGTTCCTCTAACCCCCATTATCTTTTACCTTAAGCTGTCTACTGTTGACTTTACGCATTTCTTAAGAGGTCCCTAAGGGGGCGTGCATAAGCGCACCAGCGTGCCTACCGTCCCTGTCCTAGTGTCCCATTTATATGTACTCTCTTTATATGTTTATGGCTATGTTTTGCTTATTTATATCCGTTTATTCGTGCCATTTTTTCACGTTTCATATTTGTTTCCTTGTACTTGTTGACAAATTAAATAAATAAATAAATATCTCAATTTTTAAACTTGCTCCACATTCAATATTATCAAATGATTGTGAGAACCTTTCTAGCCATATGTGTAGTATATAAAAATGCCGCAATTCATCACAATTTTGCTTTTTATTATAAAAGTAAAATAAAAAAAAAAAAGCTTTTTAAAAAAAATTAGTGGCAATTCATCTAAATTGAAATATTTACAATATAAAAAGGGTAAAACAATTGCAAACCTTTGAAAGCTTGCATTATTTTATAGACACCAGATGAAGTTTTAAATACATTTACATCATATTTTGCAATTAAGGTTCCTGATTATCGTTTGTGATTTTGTGCTTCACAGCTTTGGACCATAGTTACAGTCTATTACATAACTTTCACTGAGCATGAAGAAAATGGTTAATTTTCTTTACTAATGATCCTTCTGGAAAAAAAATAAGTGCCATTCAATCCTTTTCCTGAGTCTTCCAGTTTACTGGGATCTGGTCTGAGTTTGTTGAAAGGTCCAGTGGGTAAACATGTCAAAGAGCTTTTTCTTTTGGTGAAATTTGGATCATTAAAAGCTCTCTTTTCTCTGGAAATATTTTTCATAGCAATACCATATTTAGGTTACTTCAATTTTGCCTTGTAACGAGTTGTCCTGTCCATAGCCTGAAGCCTTTTTCTTAAGATTTATTGATGTCTTGCTGGTAAAAGATTCAGAATATGTAAAGCTAAGTTTGTGAAGAGAAATCTCCACTCCACTGTCACAAATGCTTTCAGCATCCTGGAATTTGAAATTATGTATGTCATCTGGTGAAACAAAAAGAAAAGTTTGAAAAATGCAATGAGGCACAACACTCTACAGAATTACACAGTACACCCAATTGTTATAGAAGTTATTAGAGCCTCCTCTACTTTTCCTAATCCAGGGTCAAGTTTCAATCTGGGCAACAATTTTCGATATATTGCCTTCTAATTATTTGTAGGAATTTCATAGTTTAGTAACAGTTTAATCCCTCTTAAAGTAGATTGGTGGTTCAAAAACATAATTGAATACAAAATAAATAATGTTCTGGGTAACCAATGCTCTAGAACAAGGGTGTCAAACTCAAGGCCCTTGGGCCAGATTGGGTTTATGGGGTGCTTAGATCTGGCCCGCAGGGCCACCCTGGAAACAGCAATGGAGTGGCCCGCAGTACCTCTGCCAGTGAGAATGGAGCTTGGGAAGGCTGCGGGCGGCACTCCTGAGTTCCATTTTCACTGGCAGAAGGTTACAGAAGTCTGTCGCAACCAAAAATGGAACTCACGAGAACCTCCCGAACTCTGTTTTCGCTGGCAGAGGGTGGCAGGAGGCTTTGGGGCTGAAAACCGAGCTCGGGAGGCCATTTACACTGGCAGAGCACTCGGGCCATCAAAGGCCTTCCCAACACAAATGATGTTGAGCTGGCCATGCCCACCCTCGCCACACCCCCCCCCCAAGGTCAATCACAACCCTGTTACAGCCGTCAATGAAATAGTTTGACACCCCCCCCCCTGCCCTAGAGATAATATAAACAATACAGGAAATGCTAGGCAAGTTGAACCAGTTTTATGGTATAAGAGGTGGTGCATTTTCTGAAGATTCTTCTAGAATTGCTTTCATGCACTTGTCCTCTATTTTTGCAAACTGGGTGTCAAGTATTGAAGACTGCCCCAGTTTCAATGGAACTGAAGTTGTCAATGTTGCATAAACATTTTACCACCCTCTGTCTCTTACTTCACTACCTCCATCTACAGGAATTTTAATTGCTTGCAATGCATCTCCAATGCCACTCCTGCTTCTAAATGGATGCAACAGAAAAGCTGGTACATGCAAACACAAAACCTATACATTAACTTGGTAGCCATAATGAGGATTATTCAAAAGCCAATCCTGAGTTTTAAGGAGGGTTTGCTTCCCAGTAATTAAGAATGTAACCATTTATTAAAGAAAAATATTAATAAGCAGTTGCTGGTTATTTAGCAAACCTAAAGATTGACAGCATTACTATATTTATTGAAAATGAATTTGACTTTGTAAAGTGATTGTTCATCTGCCCAAAAGAAATATTAAATTTAAAACCTTTGCTTGCTTTGCAATAGGTCATTCAAAAGTTTAAAATCTCATGTGCCTTTTTTAAAACATAAATTATAAGAAAAACATCCATCTTTC